CAATAATACCGTCTCAATTATAATACTTTGACACTTTTTTTGCCATTTTTATAAATAATTAAAAAACACAGTTTAGCAACCGAAGAATACAACGGCGATTTGTATACAAACATATTTGCGCTTACAAAAAGCGCTGCGCGTAGCAATACTGTTCAGCAGAAGTAACGCAGCAATTGCAACTGCTACATGAAGCCGCTACGTAGCGCTACGTAGCGCTAGCTTCGGCTAAACACACCCACTGATCCACACGATTCTACACCGATGGTCACAAAATCTAGTTATTTCGAGGAAAGCAGGGTGTGCAATCTTTTTAATTTCCCCACGTATTAATCAAAGTAAATCAATATGGCGTTTACCCGCGTAATTGAAACGGTCTTTTTCTACAGCGCAGTCAAATATATAAACATCAGAAGAACAAAGTTTATTCAATTTATGTTTCTTGTGTCACTTATATAAATTATTAAAATTATTGGTAGGGATAGTTAAAATTTTTGACTCCATTTAAACTCTTATTGTACTTATAATAAAACATTTGTTGTGCATGAAGTATTTTACAAATTTATGAGTAACTAAGCTTTATAACACATAAAACTTATATACGTGTATGTAATTTATCTACGAAATGTTATACAATATCAAAACTTATTTATCAACTTATTTTGATGAAAACATAGTGTACAGAAAATGGAGAAATACTTCTTGATATAATTTTTATAAAACACACAGTGCACAGTTATATCATGCAAAATAATAAATAAATTCAGAGAATGAAATTTTAAAATGCGTGTGTACATTAGAATTTTTTGCTCTTAAATATAAACTTGTCTCAACCTTTTCTCTTACACATATAAAATATTTTAATATGTAATGCCATAAAATATTTTATTGTAAAACGTCAAACATTTTTGGATTGACAAGAACATTTTTCTTTTCTTCTTTACTGTTTTCCTCTTCTTGTGGCAAATCATCTTGACCTTTGATTCTAATATTGTGCTTATCCTTGTATTCATTTATCTCAACTCCTTTTTTTGCTAACTGTTCGTTTAGGGTATCTATTACTTTCAACAACTGGAAACATATATGACAATCATAAAAGTACATTCAAGAATTGCGTCTTGATCAAAGAAACACACTGAAGAAATGTTAACGTTGATGCAACGCAGTAACAGACAAATTGTATACCTGTTCTTTGTTTGTGACCAGAGCAGGCATTACATCTTCCACTGTGCGCTCGCATAAAACACCACCAATCATTTTGTAACACTTTCTCTTGGGATCCACATTTTTTAGTGTGTCAATAACGATTCTAAAATCATATCTGAGTGAGTAATAATAGCAACGATCAAATCATTGCATTTGTTTTCCTTTGTTCCAATTGTAACAAAAGAAAAAATATAACAAGAAATATTTTTTGAATTAAAAATATCCAATTTTAAATTATGAAGTTCTCTTTGCGTTTACAATAATTCGAAATTGTCAAGAAAAAAGAATATACGCATATATGTATAGGTTAGAAAAGTATCATACTTGTGCTCGTTCAATTCCATTTCCATTTCTGACAGTTTACTCGCCAGCAATCTCTGTTCATTACGAAGTGATTGAAACTCCATCAATATCTCGTCGCCGCTTTTCGTCTTCGAATCTTTTTTCGAATTTGCCATTATTAGAAGTTCTAATCAGATCTATTACGACGTATCAAACAGAATACCACAGAGCCGATAAATTTTTATAGCCTTACTCCTTTCTTATGGAGCCATTGGCGTTCACCATGTTAATTGCTGCACTGTGTTCTTTCTTTGCACATTCATGTGAACTCATGTTCTAGTTCAGTTCTGAGTGATTTAAAAAGAACAAACCTACGGTATGTATACATAAAGAAAAGTTTATACATATGTATACATAAGTTTACGGAGTCATTCCGATTGTTGACTCATAACTTTTTTTTGTTCTATTTTTACAGTTTGCATGTGAGTGTACCTTTATATAGTCTTATACCTGAAAAATCAATTGGCTAACACTCATTCGTACACAAACGGATCTTATTGGAAAAAGAGGGAATTGTCAATTGTATTTTTCAACTATTAATGTGTAGAGATTATGGCTGCTTTCCTTTTAGGAGACACAGTCGACACAAGTCGACACAAGAGTCATTCTGTCTTTGTTCAGTATTCAGTGAGAAACAAAGACAGAATGACTTTTGTGTCGACTTGTGTCAACTGTGTCTCCTAAAAGGAAAGCACCCTATGTAGAGAATAGAAATTTAAACTCAGAATATTCGCAAACAAGTATAATCACATAATTGTTGCTAATTTTTTAATGAACAATTACAACAAAGTTTACAGAAAAACATTCCTTCCCTAGGCACCTCGGAAACCGTGTAAGTCGTAAGTCGTATTTAACAAAAATATGTAGAAAAAACAATGGAAGACAATGGCGCTAGTTAGATTCCTACCCTATAGAGTCTATAGGGTAGGACCTTTCGATCTCGAGTAACCTGAGATCAGGTGGAACAAGCTTAGAAGAAGAAAAGAAATTTATCATATTATCATACGATCCTTTTCTCATTCCTTGTCCTCTCGACCGTTAATCTTCAAAAATTCTCGCACACTCTTTAGAGCTTGCTGAAATGCTGTCTCAAATCCAGCACTGTCAGCATCCTATATTTGTATATATATGAATAGAAAAGATTTAGAAACTGTACATATATTCTTTTTATTACACAGTATGTACTTTAAAAACGCAACGCTCACAAAAAGAGGATCCCTAATACCAACTATTCCAGCTGGATCATATTTTCCAAGTAATTCTATCTTTGCTCGACTATTTTCCGGTGATATCTCGTGCAACTTGTAAATATTGTACTCGTCCATTCCAAATATCCAATCAAATTTATAGAAATCGTCCGTTGTAATCTGAAGTTATTAATATTCTACATATTACCCAGCAAACAATTTCTGTTTTTGACAATTTCGGCGCAGACCTTGGTAACAGAAACTGTTTGCAGAAATGCTACAATACGGAAACACCGCCAAAATTGATAGCACACAGAAAGAAAAAACGCAACAACTCTGTTGACAAATACATGAGAGTATTGCAGCCAAAACGATTCCATATATGTCAGTGAAATTAACAACAAAAAGATGGTCGATTGCAAGCAGATCTGCTTTTGGCAATACTGTGACCAAACAGTCCGCAAAATTGTATCAGAAATCTGTTTACGACAAAAGTCGGGTTGATCTGTTAAACGCATTGACGACAGATTGCCACCAAACGCCAAGCAGGTCTGTTCGTGTATACGTGCGGACTGTTTGCAATTTGGCGCCAACAGACAATGACCAAACCTATTCCGGATTTTGGCTTCACTTTGGCGATAATTTGGCCTCGCTTTGCTTGTGGCAGACTCTGTCATCATTTTGGTCGCATTTTGACATTTCACATGTTGACAGACATGGTTAACAAACCATATCCTACTGAGGACACAGATAGATATGGTTCTGTGACCGAAATGTTTGCTGGGTATGATTTTATATATCATTGAGAAATATTAATAGGGGATAATATATTAATAGAATATTTTATCAACAAAGGCTCACATTCGAATCGCAAATTATGTGATACTTGCTTGTCTGGCAACGTGAGAGTAATTCGTAATTCCAGCTTTTCGAAGAGTGGACATTGCTCTTGGTTCAGGACTATTGCCTACATGATACCCTAAGATACCAGCACTTTCGACCTCCCAGAAATCAGACAAACCCATTTCTTGCACTTGAGTCTGAAATGCTGCTTCTGCCATAGGAGAGCGGCAGCTATTACCTATACTCATACGTAAAAGAAATCTTAATTTTCAAACGGAACTATTAAAATTATTATTTTTCTTAGATAGATGCTGCTCTTATGAACGCATCTCTTACGGAATACAAGAAAATGGTAAAACAGTTATAACCTTACATAAAAAAAACTAAATTATACACCTCAAGTTCAACTTATAACAATTTGTAAATTAAAGTACCTAAACAAACCATAAGAACTCTTTTCTTTTGCATTTTATTCATTCTTGCACGATTAAGCGTGATAATATCTGAGTTCTGGGAACGCGGTATAACAATGGCGCTACCTGTGCTATTGCATCATTCTATTCTCTTCAATGAGAGAAAGGTCCGCGGTCTGCGCATAGGGGTGAAATAGTGGGAAGAGCGTTGCGCACTAACAAATTATTTTTTAATATAGATATTTGAAAATTTTTTCTCCAAAACATGACATTAGAAGTGAATTAATCAGTGTAAAGACTAAGATGAACTATACTAGTATTTTTGACAATCTCAATTATCAAACAATATAATAGTTTTTCATGAAAATGTGCAAGATTGCTTGAAATGGTAATAACAATCAGAAAAAAGAGAAATAAAAATAGTATGAAAGTAGCAAATATTACCATTATATCACGTATAATTTTATACACAATATATGTACAATAATTGTACATTGTATCCATCCTTATAAGAACTTTAAAATCTAAATTAATTACATTGTAATAAATTAATATTCAAGTATATATTTCTTGCATTAACTCGTGTGTTTGTTCAAAAACACTGTTATACTTCTCAGACATTGTTCATAAGCCTTCTGGAATCCGGCACTCCCACTATCCTGTGAAATAATTAGAAAGGCCATCAATGTAATTTCCGATCTCTCTCATTTTTTGACTACATAAATGCTACAAAGAGATTACATACGTAATACGGATCTCGTATTATAATTTCTCCACTTGGATCGTAGCTTCCTAAAAGCTCCACTTTTGCCTTACATTCGTTTGGCTTTAATCCATTTAATTCTTGAATGTTTGCATCATCCATACCAAATATCCAATCAAATTTATTAAAGTCTTCTTGTGTTATCTACATAAAAATAAAACAACTTCAATATATTATATAGATAATATATACACTACTGAAATAATTCGAAAAAATTATTAGCAAATATGCTTAATTCACATAATATATTATTTTTTCTAATTCTTACCTGACGAGCTCGGTGAGAATAATTAGTAACGCCGTTTTCTTTTAATGTACTTAAAGCTCTATGATCTGGCTTTTTACCTGTATGGTATCCTATAATAGCGGCGCTATCTACCTCCCATTGATTTCTCAAACCTCTTTTGTTCATTTCATTTTCAAATACAGCTTCTGCTATTGGTGAACGACATATGTTGCCTATAAGGAAACAAAAATTATAATAACTAACAAATTAGCAAATTGCAAAATTTTTCTTCAACATACAAAGTGACACAAAAATGTATGGTTTTCCATGAAAATCTTTTTTCTGTATATTTGAGAATGCATATATAGTATTTTTACCTAAACAAACCATAAGTACTCTTTTTTTCTGCGACATTGTAATAAAGTTTCTATTTAAGTTGATTTCTATTTAACTTGGTTAAAAATGTTTTATAAAACGCGCATGAGCGCTCACCTCAAAACAAACGTGCTCAAACCATAAGAGAGTGTGTAATGTAATCGCTTTTTCCGCCATGTAAGCCAGCGCAATGTCCATGGGTGGTGCACATTGGCAACTACGTAGCCATATCCACGAACGCCTTGTCGGTATGCTTGTACACAACGCGTCACTGAATCGCGGAATAGGCGCGGGGATCGGGGGGCAAGCGGGGCGGTTGCTCGTAGCGCCAACGAGCGCCGTGCGAACTAACTAGTAGCAATCGGTTGTCCACAACTACGTCGTGTCGATAATGTAACTGCTCTTNATACGTATCGACAACTCGCTCGTGGACATCGCTACGTAGTTGCCAATGTGCACCACCCATGGACATGCGCTAGCTTACGGGCCGGAATAATGGTACCCAAAAACTCTTATGGGCCTGGCCGCTCTCAGGCTTCTCTCTGTTTAAATTGACCCTGTGTTACATCTTTACGTTGGTAACGCAAAGAAGTTCCTAGACTTTTAGCCGTTTTGCGTGGAATCGGCTAATGTTCCTTTTTACAGTAACAGTGTATTGAAGACACGTGGTTACGATTGTAATCATCGAATCTAAGGCGAATTACCGAGCAAATCAGGTAAATACACGCGATAATTTAGTTGCTATCACGTATAGATCTTGTATATCTTTAAAGCGATGAAGTTAGGTCACTCTGTGTTAAGGTAATTACGTGCATATCGCAGCGCGGCATGGCCATTGCTCTTCGCGGTTGTCTCGCCCATTTGTGCGTCGCGAAGAGCACGGTCAATTGACTAAGTATATCCAATCGTTTTAAACCCACCGACGTTTAACTGATGGAATTTACGTTACTTTCGGTCTTATTTTTTGATTTTCTGCGTAGTTTTGTTTATCGTAATTGCCACGCAAGTTATTGCACAACATTGTGTATACACGTTGTTTCTTGTCAATAGAACAAGCTGTGACAGTACGAAAAAAAACGTGCCTGCGTGTTAGGAGGAGATATCTTACAAATACACTTAAGATATTACTAAGATTGTTTTTTTTCTTTTTAATCTGATTAAAGGATGCCGTTGGCCAGAGACTTCCTCCATCCAAGTCCCATTGAGGAAAAGAGGAAACACAAACTGAAGAGGCTTGTCCAAAAGCCCAACAGTTATTTCATGGATGTAAAATGTCCAGGTTGCTATGCTATCAAAACCATCTTCTCACATGCCCAAAGGCCGGTAGAATGTGATGGATGCCGCACAATTCTTTGCACTCCAACAGGAGGAAAAGCAAGATTAACAGAAGGTTGTTCTTTTAGAAGAAAAGTACAGTGCTAATCTTGTGTAATGTATTCTTCTCTTTATATTCGATAAATAAATACAATCACATTGTATATTATAGAATTTTGTTTTATTGTAAAACAACACCTGTTATCCATGATATAGGAAATAAGTCTGTATAAAAGTATTTTTTTTTACTTAGTTTATGAAGTTTTACTTTTAATAGTAATAATAAAAGTACATGAAAAAATGAGTTTTTTTTTTAAGTTGTAGCATAAACTAATAAAAAAAAACAAAGTTTTATACACATTAATTTACATATATGTAACATTTAAAATTGATTTCTCATACATATCACATTTCATACTTTTATTTGAAGTATAATTTTCCAAATGTCAACAAAAAGTAACGTTTATTGATTAAAAATGATTTATATGTTTATATGTAAAATCGGACGCGGAAATAAAAACATACATTATCATAAATTTTTGTTTTTATCTATGTTTTTTTTTAATAATACATTTTAATATACATTTCATAATCTGTAACATAATTTTTCTATAGAATGTTCCAAGTTACTTAAATTTCATGCACGATACGCAGACGTATAACATAGATAGCTTCCACAAATAGGCTGTTGCGCATACTTGCATTTATGTCTTTTATAATCTGTCAATGTCCTAACTGATGAAACAGAGAAAAACTTAAGAATGTAAGATGGCATTGTATGCTTGGAATACGCCAGGTGCGACTTCCACAGATCGAGATTTCAAGGACAACTGTAATGAAAAAAAAACAAGAGATAATCATGTAAGATCAAGAAAACGCAAAGATTTCAGACGAAATATAAGATATAATGTGATTGTAGATACACGTACCGTAACATCAGGATTGCCTGGCTGAATTTTCAATTCGTTCAATACCCAGACGTTATTCGTCAATTTAAGGGATTGATAAAGCATATCTTGTCCTTCCACATTTCTTTTGGCAATTGTGAAAACATTGTTCTGTTGCATCTTTTGCACAACTTGATCCGCCGTCAACATTATTCCATTCAACGTATATTGCACCTGCAAGTAATAAAAACGTGTCGTTTTTTAGAGATCTGTTTCTATAAAATGTTTTCACACCATTTATGAATTTAAAAAAAAAAGAAAAAAAAACCGTAAAGATACCTCATTTTGTGCAGGGATGTCTTTCCACGTTGAAAGAAACACTCTCTTATCTAGCTGACCATCTTCCGTGAAGTAGACGTTCATCGGTACGATACACGCAAAATAGAAAACGTCGATGTTGTTTTTAATAGCGACTTGAAGATTATTCAAGGGTTCCATGCGTTGCACCGCACCTACAGTGGACAATGTAACGCTTGTTTCGACCATCGCTCCGGGAGCCAATGGAGCCGGTACGTGCAACGGAGCCGCCGGTGTCAGACCGAAGCTGTTCTTGTTTAACTGTATCGCGAATCCTCCCATGGGTTGCATCGTCTTGTTTGTGAAAACCATGTCCATACTAATTTGTCCGTTCCTGCCAGACATCAATGACATTTCGTAACGATATAAATTACTTACAATCACGAGACAAAATAAAATTAAAAATATTTTATTTTTTAATTACTTTCTCGAAAATGTTCCCCAGATATCGAAACCTTTTCCCTTTTCGGCTGGTAGCCAATTAACTTTAGGCGTAATATAAGATGCGGGTCCTTGGCTGAAACCAAATATGTCACCAAGCAGACCTGTTGTACTCTGTGAAACAACCGGTGCAGCGGTCGTATTATCAGTATTGCTCAAAATTCCGTCTAAACCGCCACCTAAGAGATCCAAACCTAATCCTGCAGACTGTGAGGTAGGTGCCGGTTGAACTATTGCTGGGCCGCCTGGAACAGATAATAAAATGATACAAAATAAATAAAATGATACAAAAAACCAAAAGTCTAAAAACTAAATTTTTTAAATTAAATTAAATAAAACTATAATATCTGCGATTTTTCTAAGATATTTATATACCAATGTCCATGCTGAGAAGATCGCCTATGAGAGAGTCCTGAGAAGGTATGACTTGCGCGTGAGGTTGCGCGGTTGTGCGACTGGAATCCTCGTTTGAATTACTTCTGGCAGGCAACGATTTTCTGGCTCCCGCGGCTCTACCTTCCACGAACGCTGTAGGAGGTTTGTGATACACGGACGCTAAACTCGAGATATGACAGATCAATTCGTCCAACAATGTCGGCTCCAACAGATCTGTTTCCTCCGAGATCAGAGGTTTTTCTGCGAGCACTACTTCTTTCGCCGCCGCTGGATCGGTGCTGAGCAGCCGCCAGTATATAAAACCGCGGTCGCGTAAATCAGGATTATCGGAATCCTGTGTGGCCAAGCTGAGTACTTGTTGAACCAGCTCTTGTGTATCCGTGGGCCTCTTGAGAAACAGCTTTACAATTGCGGTGAGCAGTTGTAGCTGCACCTGAGTATTCTCGTCATGGAATCCTTCCAAAAAGCTCTCTAACAGTTCATCCGCGTTGTCGATGCGCTCCGCGTACTCGCCAATGATCCAAATCATAGAAGCGCGTGCCTCTGGCTCGTCCAGAGTGTCGAGATTCTCACACAAAGTCGAAATTATACTTTCGTATTTGTTAGGATACTTGCGGAATATGTCCTTTATTACTACAATTGCTTCTTGAACGACATAGTTCACCTGAAAAAATCCACAAATTTAAGATATCTAATATGAATAAAAATTTTTTTCAAAAAACTTGTTATTTTTAACTTGTAAAATATTTTCTTGTATGTACGTTGTATACATACCTTGGTTTGTATCAGATCTAGCAACGTGGCGACGCAACGCTCCGCAGACGGCTCGACTTTTATAGCGCAGCGACCGATAGCTCTCACAGCCTTTCTCACGAAATCCACATCAACTTCGGTGGCGTATTCTTTCAGTTCCGATAGAACTTGCGCGATGTTGGCTTGTGACGCTAAGCGAATCATAATGTCCAGTTTCTCCAATTTTACATATATCGGGTCATTGTACTTAACAAAAAACACTTTCATCTCGTGTTTCAGGATATCAGGGCGCTTCTGTACGATGAGATTAATATTCCTCAGTGCGACATATTGAACCTCCGGCTCGGAACTCAATAACGTGACAAGAGGAGGTGCCAATTTCTTCGTGAGTGTACCAACAAAATCCGATTCGGACTGTAGCATTTCCATCAGTTTCATTAATACCTACAATAATGTCAACAACACAGAGCCAATTAACACACAATTACTTCTTTTACAAAACTTACAGTTCTCGGATCTTTTATTCATTCATAATATACCTACTTTGACAGCGGAAAGCACAACAGCAGCATTAGCATGTGCTAGACGTGGAGTGATTCTTTCGCAAATGCTTTGCGCCTCACGATCGTCTTTAGGCGAATAATTCGCCAACGAATCTAGAATAAAAACTTGGCCCCATTCCGTACATTCGTTGAGTGCTGTCAATAGTTTGTTTATAGTCTGTGCATTCATTTCCACTAATGGCTGACCGCTCGGACTAGCCTCGTTGATCTCAGATAGTGCAGCTACCGCATTTGCAACAACCTGAAGAACAATTTGTTTTTTTTTTTTTTTTTGACGCCTAATATCTCGCTAATAACATTTTGTTTATCGAATGATATAGACACATATGTTTATCTCGTAAAGTTGCAATAATCCACCGCTGTTAAGGTTTGAAGAAAAGTCTTATTATATATACCATTGGATTACTGTCGGACAAAAGGTCTTTCAACTGATCCAGAAATCCCTGGTCCTCGACTAAAGCTGCGTTAATGTCATAAAGTTTGGCGACGCATACGGCTGCGGTTTTTCGTACGTACGGGTCTTCGTCCTTCAGGCATTTGCGCAACGGCTCGCACAGGTACTCGGTTATCTTGTCGACGCGTATGCAACCCATCGTGCGAACTGCTAGCGCGCGTATCAACGGATTTGGATCCTCGCAATCCTGCACAAAAATCGGGCAAGCCAGGGATTCAAGTCTAGTCACAGTAGTGGCTATCTATTTTCAACCCATAAACTTTAACAAAATAGAAAGTAGCATTGGTACCTTTATCATCGGAGATGTCGCTAGCTCCTTTTGCGTGTCAGAACGAAAAAGGTCAAATTGGTCACCGTCACCATTTTTCATTAAGTGTTAAATATTATACTTATCAGCCATTTAAGAGATAGAGAGTGTGTAATGGAGAACTGATTATTTTTTAAAGAGCACGAGGTATTTTAGTTTTTCTCCCGTAAGTTATTTCTCGTATTATTATACAAATTAGTAATTAATATGAGGAAATTATTGTAAAGTAAATAATCAAGTGTGTTACATCGATATTAAATCATGCAAATAAAGATAACGATATGATTTTATACAAGAGAATATTATTATATTTACAAATATGTTATATGTTATTGTATTATAGTTTATTTTTCATATATGTAATACGAAATTGCATTCATAAAATTATATTGAAATTTTGATTGTAAATTGCGTGCAATTAGTAAATATAATTTTTATAAGAGCATCGATTAGTGTATGTGTATATAATGCAAACTTGTAGATACATATACATATATAGATATATATATATATATATATATATATATATATATATATAATAGAACATTTAAGAAATCATAATTTTCATGCTGTGTATATATTAGCAATTTGCGAGTAAGACATTAATATTTAAATTTCTTATTGTCTTTCCGATTTATAACAATATTACAATTATATTTATAACAATATTATAATTGCCATTTAAAAACTCATTATTTAATATACTTATATTGTAAATACAATTACGCTGAAAAAAATAAATACTTTCCTTCAAGCATATAAAATATTGAAATTAGCGTGATTTTTTTTTTTTTTGAGAAATTATTTCATGCGCAATTTTTAGAAATCAAGACAATATATTAGTGTGTCAGCGTAAACAAGAGTAACATATATACAACATTGTAAATCATCTATTTAATTTTAGTACACATTTAAAACAATTATTGCGAAAATACGCAGATGAATATGATACCTAATAGAATTCTGGAATTTGGTTTTGAATCATGTAATCGCGTAATAAAGCTAAAAAAAAAAATTTGTGTAGAAAATAATTAAATAATAGTCTAAGAATATTATACAATATGACACTGCTTATGAAAACAACCAAAGTCCAGACCCGTGCCCTTTGAAAAATAAACAATTCAGTAGTAATGAGCAAGAGAAAATATACATTCCATCCCATAATGCAGAGAGCTAAGCAAACTGTAATTTGCAAAGCACAGTCTGTACACAATATGAGGCACGCTGTCAAATAAGCACAAGCACCAAGTAATCAAAACAATATATATTTATAACTTGATGATTCTCATCAAATATAACATGAAACAACCAACCATGTCAGCTTGCCTCTCTTTACAGACAGTCTTACGGACTCCGAGCATCATATAAATGTCATTAAGAAAAATGTAAAGAATAAAGGTGCGTTTTAAATGTATATATATAAATATATATGTATATATATACTAAATTGTTTATATATATATATATACATATACATATATATATCAAAATTGTGATGAGACAATTTAAGTGATAAGGTTTTAAGACATATTACCTTGACGAATGTGTTGACCGCCATAATGGCCATGTCTGGTTGACTCTTGGCATAGTTCATCAGGTACAGATACACCAGCTTCTTCAACTCTAGATTGTCAGTTTGCATACAGTTTACTACATCGGGGAACAGCGCAGATACATCTTTGCCTACTGTCATAGATGCAATCACCTGGATAGTTTTAACAACAATGTTTTCATATTATGTATATCAAATATCATTCATGTGTGATACATGTGCATATAAAATAATATAATATTAATACAATAAAAATATGATATAAATAAAATATTAACAAAAAAAGATCAAAATTAGTTTTATGTGAAAACTAAACATATAGTACCTTCTTTACAGCTTCTTTCTTCTTTTCTTTTTTCTCATTATTCAATTCTGATTTGAGCTCAAATATTTCTCCCTTCTTTGTAGTAGTGAAATACTTGGAATCGGTCATCTTGTCTATATGACAGCCCGCATGTAAAATAAGAATAACACAAATATATATATGAATTTTTTATAATAATTAAAAAGTCATAATTTCAATGTTGCTTTATATATCAAGTGTTAATTTCGACTTTTACTTTGAGAAATAACTTCGCGATCTCTGAGAGAGTGAACTAAGGTGCGACCTGATATCGCAGAATCGACGTAAATGAAATATGAGCTGAAAATTACAGGAAAAAAAAGTAAAACAATTTACATTAATCGAGGAATCTACGAACAAGAAGAGTGATAATGATATAACGAGAGACGCGAGAATCCGCAGCGCAATTAAATCTCTATACATATAATGTGAACCGAGAGAGAGAGAGAGACCGGATCAATGTTCAGAATCTATGGTGTCGTAACGCTAACTCTCTCACTATCGAGAGTAAAACGTCAAACCGTGCACAGACTCGTATTCAACGGAGCTTATCGGAACAGACGCGATAGACACCACAAAGATGATTATGCGAAGATGCGATAATGAAATACGACATCGTTAAAATGTCGAGAGAACCGTATAAAAATGTAAAAATTACGGAGCATCTCAAACGGTTGCATCGGGAAAGCAAAGAAGCCGCTGCAACTCAGCTGCAACTGCTCGCGCGAAACTCATCATTAATTACCTGTCTATTTATTAGCGACACGAAAGCCGGGGAGAAGGGACGGCCGGAACGATCGAACGCTATCCGCACAGTCGCAAGAAAATTGAAATTAAATACCTTCCACCTCCGGGACAGAGAGAGAAACTTATATTCTATAAAAATTATCCGATTGCTACGTATGACCATGCGCTGATACTATGATGACAGTATCGACGAATTCGATTGGATGCACTAGTGCGCACTGAGTGCGTCCTCTTTCAGTGTTAGTCAAATACCAACACTGAAATATTCTACAACACATTGAAAGAAGACGCACTCAGTGCGCACTAGTGCATCCAATCGAATTCGTCGTATGACACTTGTACGCTATCGGAACACGCAGACTAACGCGCATGTAAGGCTCATTCTACAATAAGATATTAGTTTAGTCGTAAGCTGTATGTCGTAAGAAATGAACCAATCACAGACAAATTACAGAAGAATAATCGATTGTGATTGGTTCATTTCTTACGACTTACAGCTTACTACTAAACTAATATCTTATTGTGGAATGGGCCTAAGAGAAAGTAATAGATTTTCACCGCTTTTACCGATAAGTCCGTCCTCTCTGATTGGCTGCTTCGCTGTGAGAAACCCAGCGACACCCATGTGTACTTCCCATAAGGTTTGTTACTTCGATTAAATAATTGAATGTATAGAATTTTTCTTTGTAATATTTCTCCCCTTTTTGCCTTGCAATTTTTTTTTCATTTTTTTCGTAAGTACAAATACAGGATTTAAAAATCTAACAAATTAAAAGAGAAATCGTTAGTTGAGCATGATCGAAGTTGATTGGTTGCAATTAGTACCGATCTACCAGTCACTTCGACGACTGGGATGTTTCTCATCTTGTGAGTTTGTTAAATTTTGGACACGTATACCGTTTTATAAATTATATATAGCTGTATAAAATACAGACCAAGATTATTTTCCGCGTGATTTTCTTTATTTTAATCTCTCTCTCTCTCTCTATCTATCTTAGGTACGTATGTGTCCAGTTCACGCATTGCAACTGTATCCTACTCATTTGACGTCTCTGCAGCATCGCGAATACGTGCAATGTGTCAAAGATACATAACCTGTTATATCCGTTCGCGTGTTCGCTCTCCTTTCGCATGTCAAAGTTCTCGCGATTGAAAAAACTACTGGCCGCTAATAATATTATCAAAGTTCTGTGACTTTTTGTAGGTCATAAGAAAATTTTCGTTGTGCTAATACAGTGCAAAAAAAAAAGACAAAAAAATGGGCACGACAACCGAACAACCGTGCTACACCCTGATCAACTTTCCGAACGACGTGGAACTGAACGAGCTCCAGCTGAAGCAAGATCTTGAGAAAGGGAATACCAACCAGAAAATTGAAGCTCTCAAGAAGACAATTCATATGATTTTGATTGGCGAACGAGTGCCGTCGTTATTAATGACGATTATTAGGTTTGTTCTGCCTCTGCAGAATCATGTAATCAAGAAGCTGCTATTGATATTCTGGGAGATAGTGCCAAAAACCTCTGCCGATGGCAAACTCTTGCAGGAAATGATTCTTGTCTGTGATGCGTACAGAAAAGATCTGCAGCATCCAAACGAGTTTGTCAGAGGAACCACTCTTAGGTATAAACATAAGTGCAAATACAATATTAAAGTTGTTGACAGTCAGAATTGCAGAAATTCTAATCCAATGATTGATTGCAGATTCTTGTGCAAACTGAAGGAACCAGAACTCTTGGAGCCTTTAATGCCAGCAATAACCGGTTGTCTGGAACATAGACATTCTTATGTCAGACGCAATGCAGTGCTGGCTATTTTTACAATTTACAGAAACTTTGAGTTTCTCATACCAGATGCTCCCGAATTAATAGCAAAGTATCTTGAGGGAGAACAAGACATGTCATGTAGAAGAAATGCATTCCTGATGCTGCTGCATGCTGATCAGAACAGAGCTCTTGCTTATTTGGCTGCATGTCTTGATCAGGTGCCCAGTTTTGGTGATATCTTGCAACTGGTCATTGTTGAATTGATATATAAGGTATGTGTTATGAGAAATAGATTTAAAATGTTATATTTCTATAATGATTAAATAATATGTATAGTGTAATAATGGAATTTTTGTGTTTAAGTTAAGAAAATTAATGTTCTTGGATTTTTCTAGACGAAACTGTCGGTAACAGATAATAAATTTCATTTTTTAGGTTTGCCTTGCAAATCCGTCAGAAAGAGCACGTTTTATTAGATGTATTTACAGTTTGTTGAATTCACCTAGTGCTGCGGTACGATATGAAGCGGCTGGCACTTTAGTGACTCTCTCCAGTGCACCAACTGCAATTAAAGCAGCAGCTTCCTGCTATATTGAATTGGTTGTCAAAGAGAGCGACAACAATGTTAAACTTATTGTGTTAGATCGACTAATTGCGATGAAAGATAGTCCTGTATATGAAAGAGTACTTCAGGACCTTGTGATGGATATACTTCGAGTTTTAGGTATTACATTGATAACCATTATAACTACTGTATAATTGTATTGCAACCTGAGAAATTTATACTGTTGGAATACTCTGATGTTTTAAATATTATGTTTTAAATAGGATCACCAGCGTTGGAGGTCAGAACAAAAACCTTGGCTCTTGCTATGGACTTGGTGACAACTCGTACAATAGAAGAAATGGTGCAACTTTTAAAGAAAGAAGTTCTCAGAACAGCCGGCGGAGAACACGAGGATGCTGGTAGATATCGCCAGCTCTTGGTGCGAACTCTTCACGCTTGCTCGATGAAATTCGCGGATGTCGCTGCCACCGTCATTCCAGTGTTAACAGATTTTCTATCGGAAAGCAACGACGCGGCTGCCATGGATGTTCTGGTGTTTATTCGCGAAGTGATTCAGAGATTCGAAAATCTCAGACCGCTGATAATTGAGAAACTTTTAGAGGTACGTGCGCGACATCACAAATTTTAAAATACATAAGATCAGTGATATAAACAAAAATCTAAAGTTTTTTGTCTTGATTTTGAATTAGGTATTCTCTCATATACGTTCCGGCAAGGTGCACAGATCCGCGCTTTGGATTCTCGGAGAATACGCGACAACAAAAGAGGATATAGAAGCTGTGATGAGCCGCATACGCGCCGCTCTGGGCGAACTGCCGTTGCTTGAGGCAGAAAATAAGCGCCAAGCCGGCGAAAAATCCGAAGACGGTGACTCGCAAACCGCACCCGCACAACTCGTTACATCTGACGGAACATATGCAACTCAGAGTGCTTTCAGCACTGCATCTACACGTGAGCGATCTTTACTTTTACGCAAAATATATGGTACTTTTTTATATACTGCTTACACACGAACGTATTAATATATAGGGAAAAAAGAAGAGAAACGACCGGTATTGGTGCAATATATGATGGAAGGTGACTTTTTCATCGGAGTATCTTTGGCTACCACATTGGCGAAGTTAGCTCTTCGTTATAAAGTGCTGGAAACCAATATTGCAAAGAGCAACAAGTTGCAAGCGGAAGCGATGCTCGTGATGACTAGTGTGCTGCAGCTCGGCCGTTCCGGTCTTCCTGCCAAAGCAATGACGCACGACGACGCGGAAAGGATATCTCTGTGCTTCAGATCCCTCGCCAGTCCAATCCCTCTTGTGCAAAAGGTCTTTACAGAAGGGTGCCGCGACGCTCTTGAGAGAATGTTGACCGCGAAAGCGGAAGAGGACTCGCAAAATCAAAAAGCCAAGGAAAAACCGGGCAATGTCGTTCAAGTCGACGATGCGATACAATTCTTACAATTGAGCAGAGGATCCGATTTAGCTAACGGTGCCGGTGACGTGTTCGAACAAAGCCTCAGCGCGGCTGTGGCGGGACGACCCGGCGCCAGCGGAGATGCTTTAGCTCCGAACGCTTTGAGCAAAGTCACTCAGCTCACCGGTTTTTCGGATCCGGTCTATGCGGAGGCTTTAGTCCACGTCAATCAATACGACATTGTACTCGACGTTCTGATAGTTAATCAAACGGAAGACACTTTGCAGAACTGCACTTTGGAGTTAGCTACTATGGGTGATCTGAAGCTAGTGGAGAGACCACAACCTATTGTGCTTGCACCTAGAGATTTCGCCACTATCAAAGCAAACGTGAAAGTCGCATCTACAGAAAACGGGATTATATTTGGAAATATCGGTGCGATTATATTAAAGTAACATAAATGCTAAATCCGTTGTGAAGAGCTTATGTAACTTTCTTTCTTGTTTATAGTTTATGACGTATCGGGAGCAGGTTCTGACAGAAATGTTGTTGTTCTCAATGACATACACATTGACATAATGGATTATATAGTACCAGCAACGTGCACCGATGTGGAATTTCGTCAAATGTGGGCCGAGTTCGAGTGGGAAAATAAAGTCTCGGTCCATACAACTTTGTCAGATTTGAGAGAGTATCTTGCCCATTTACTAAAGTCCACGAATATGCGTTGTCTCACGCCGGAAAAGGTACGTTTAGTTTTCGATTTTGCAATGTTTCTACTAAATTAGTGCTCTCTTTTTGCAGTTATATAAATTATATTAAATTGTAATTTTTTGCCCGCTGTAGGCTCTTTCGGGACAATGTGGATTTATGGCGGCGAACATGTATGCTAAATCGATATTTGGCGAAGACGCGTTGGCAAATTTGTCTATCGAGAAGCCACTGAACAAACCTGACGCGCCAGTAGTCGGTCATATTCGTATCAGAGCTAAGAGCCAAGGTATGGCCTTATCGCTAGGCGATAAGATTAGTTCGGCGCAGAAGTGTCCGCAGACTAAAGTCGTACAAGCTTAAATTGTTGCGATTTGTTGAATTCCGCTCCGTACTCGAATTTTTTTCGAAATGGATATAATTACAGGACCTTAATAAATGTTGAATTTTGCATATCTGTAGCATTTATATATATAAATCATGTCGTTTAGACACACAAATTTCTGATTCTTTACGGATATTCTTTGGACAAGATATTCTTTGGCTTTTATCATGCTAATAAAAGTACAATGATCGACAATGAATCAGTTTCACGATAAAGAAAGAATGGTGTTTTCCATACTCTATTCATTTTCAACAGCTGTTGATCAGAAAAAAATTCTCTTGAATTGCTTAATTATTAATCATTGTACCTCGGACTCGATTGTATCGTAATGGTAGTAAACCGTGTATAACGTAAAAAGCGCAATGTTAATTTGTTTTATGTTTAATTAATTTAATAAAATTTTTTGCGCCAATCACACTATTGTGACGAGTCACAACTACGCAATTGGTGTTTTGCGCGCGCACACAAAAGGATAAGATAGGATTTATAAAAGAAAATAACCATACACGTCATAAATATATAAGCTTCGTTTTTCTTTATTTTTCTTTAGATGTAATATATATATATATATACATATACATAAAACATTATGTGTGTATGTTTTTAAATAAAATACTTTTCAAAGAAAATACCTTTTGATATTAAATTAGTTTTTTTAAAAGAAATTTGCGATATATATACATATATAAGTAAGAAAATATAACGCAGTTGTGTTTTTGATATATCAATACAAAATTATTTTAATTTCTCTATTAACTGATAATTAATAAATTTTTTATCTCTTACAATACTTCAAACCTAGAGCCAGCCCCCTCTTAATTTGTTACGCGATGTAACGTCGACGAGCTTTTCTCGAGCTTCATCTTTGCCACCGTCCGAAGTCGAAGTAATTGTCGGGATACACGGAAGTTTAGGACTGTGCAAAGATTTCGGACGCATTCTGATCGAACTGGTTCTGTCTTTGATTGTGGACGCGCTCGCGGCTGCAGCACCGGGTTTACTTTGACTTTCCTTGGACGCGCTAGAGAAAGTTTTCGCGTCAGTAGAAGTAGTGGTAGTGGTAATGGATTTCGTATTGACGGAAACTGCGGGTTTGACAGCAGTAGAAGTAGTTGTTGCGTTGGACCCAGTAGTAGTAACGACAGTCGTCGACACAGTACAAGTACTGATTGACGTGGTAGAAGCAGCCGGAAGAACAGTTAAGAATTGAGTGGTTGCGGGCTGATTAGAGGTTGATGATTGTTCTAAAGAAATATGCACAACACAAAAATATCGTAATAAGTAACATTATAAAATTAAATACGAAAACAACACTTTATCTTTTCTCTCGATAGCTTTAAATAATTACCGGCTGGTAGTTGAATTTTGGGTTGACGTTTTCTCTTTATTACTCGTGGTGGTGACGTACGAACTAGTAACAAAGGCGCTTTTGCGGTTTTCTCGTTGACGAAATCGAGCGATAATTTTGTCTACACAATTTTAAATAAATTATTATTGTTTGTACAGATATTATATGCTGCAGATAACAAGATTTGAAACTATATGTCACAAACTGTTCCTTTCTTTTACTGAATGTTGCTATATTATATATAATTTCTCACCAATCTTAATTGTTGATTTAATACCTGTTCGGATTCGAACGGTTGAGAACTAATTCCTTGTCTAGGTAACTCCTGAGTTTTGGCTTGTTTTGGAGATTTAGGTGATGAAGTTATGGATCCCGGAGTTCTAGGCTCGCCGTCGGTTTCGACGATTTCATGCAGAACGTGCAGTATCGTCGCCGCAGTAGTTTCCGGCAATTCCATCGGCACGTCCGGTTGGATTGGACTCTTTTGCGCCAGACGTTTCGCCTCTTCCATCGCTCTCTGTAGACTCTGCTGACTCTGCAGCGACGCTCTGGAGGTGCTTTTGCCGATTTGCGAGCTTTTAACGACCGCACTTTTCACGACCTACAAAAATTACGACGAGAAGAAGCTTATCAACAATCGATTGTTTTTCGTCGAATTGAAAGCAAACTCTAATTGTCTCGTACTTGGCTCCAGCGTTGCTCAACCGAAGTCAGTACAGCTAATCTGGCGACTCTCTTCCATCTCTGGACGATGTTCTCGTCTTCGGGTTGGAGCAGAGCCATTTCTTCCTGAAGATCGGTTTCGGCTGCATTCACAGGACCCGCCACCGTGAAGTCTTTCATTAATCTTCTCTCCCAGACTTTCATCTTCTTACCTAGTACAGCTAAACAGTTTTCAAGAACAAAAGCAATGTGTATGTATAAAAACTCGAGTTTTCCAACACACAGACACGACAGAATGTCATGTTGATTGCGCAAACATATGCTTACTCCTTTCTTTTTTATCGGCGGTGCCGATATCCATGCCGTTTCTGCGCAAGATGTCCAGGAGTTCGCATCTCCAGGATGACAAGTCACTTTTGAGTTCGTGAACGTCGTCCTCGGTAACGGGTTCCATTTCGTGCTCGCTATGCGCGTTTACAACGTAGCGCCATATCAAAGCTCTCATCACGGCTTCGTATCTGCAGAATTAACAGGATACATAGATTTATTATTTTTGCAGTTTGAACGTCATGTGAAATGTCTGCAGTTTAATATATATAAAATACGTATATTAAATTCTTTATATTAAATCACATTAAATTCATTACATTAAATTATAAAATACGTGCATTTTAAATTCAGCAAATATTAATATTTTTTTATTACTACTTTAATTAAATACTAATTACTGTTTGTATCCAATTGTATTGACAATTTTTTAATACTACAATTTTATTTTTTTATATTCCCTCACTTATAGTCTTGCGCACGTCGCCGCTGACTGCTGCGCCGACCGACAGGCTTCTTCTGCAAGCCGCAAAGTCGAAAAAGCAATTTCGGCGGCGGAAAGATATTAAACGGTGGTGGCAGGGTGCCGGTGTCTTCGAAGTAACTCATCCATAACTTAGTTCGCGCGAATTTCCACTCCGTGTCGGAATGTTCCTGCCGGCGTCAATGTATCCGTTGACGAGATCATTCAGATCGCGCGGATATATCGTGTGTTGGTTCTTACCTCAATCACGGCGTAGCTGTTGCTCATCATAGCTATCAGTAGATTCAATAGGACAATCACGTTAATTACGGAATACGATCCGAACATCAGCAAACCCCAGAATCTGGTGTACGATTTGATTCCTGAAGATAATGAACGTCTTGACCGTTTGGAAAATTATTTAAAAAATGCTGGGTTTTTGCCGACGAACAAAAAAAAAAGATAATCTAACGGAAAAATGGTAATTCTCATTCTTCGAATACACGAGTGAACGTACCAGCAAGTTCGAAGGTTTCGATACCAACCATACCGAAACTGGCCCAGAAAAGACTCTGACATGATTCGAACAGATTGCTGAATCTGCGAATATTTCGTGAGAAATCTTAGAAGTATTCATAATTTTTCTAAAACACATATATTAAAAGAATAATTGTTGAAAAAGAGAAGAGACACAAGTTTTTTGTAACATTAAATAATTTAAAATAATATATAAATATATATTATTCTCTCTGCGCAAAGAGGTATTTATTATACATATTGTGAAATTAATTAATTAGTGCTTTATTAGCTTTGATAAAGCATTAATTACGAGAAACGACGACATAGTTTGTTATTTTTAGATATGTAATTATTGGGCGCTCGCACGCGTCGGAAATATAGTTTGGAAAAAGATTCTCTCATACTCGTATCCGATCACTTCGATTAGTCCACTCACCTTCTCCATCTTAAGCAAGCTTCAGTATCTGCATCCCACGATGGATCCATCATATTACTGTAACACTTTCGCCTCTCGAGTTCCGCAAAATACCAAAGTAACTGATTTAAACCGCAGGCGAAGGCGAATAACACCAAGGTGTAGATAAAAAAGAACTTTACGATGTCGATCACCATTCTGCCCAACGATATCTACATAGAAGTGACATTTGTTTTTTATTGAATATCAGAGTCTCAAAAGACGCGTAAATGTTTTATTTACGTTGTTTAATTTGCTTCTGTATAATCTATAAAAGATATAAAAAATAAAATAAAAAAATATTTTTAACAATATCTTATAAATGCGATACCTGAAGAGGACCCAGATGCGGATTGATGCTAAAAAGATGAACGAGTTTCAAGGCACTGAAAACATTCGCGGCCGCAAACAGACCCTCCGCAATCAGCTGCGGATCAAAATCGCTCCAGTTTTCTCTCGGTATCAACGCGGCCGACGGATCCTGTCTTATCTCGGCATATTGTTGAAGATAAGCCGCCAGTCTGAGAACGCCAGTTGCGAGGTAGAGCATGTTTCGCGTGAAGTCGATGAAGTTCCACATGTTCCGTAAATAAGCTCGTAGACCGTCCACGTACATCTTAACGCATTTTCGAAATTTTTCTTGAATAAATTTTAGGTAAACAGAAAAAAAAGAAAAATTGAACAAAAAGATGAACAGAAAGAATTTTCGCTCCTCTGTTATTGGCGTACCTCTCTTGTTTCTTCCCAAATAAATCCAAAAACGTAAAACACCACAATCCCCTCCAGTGGTGTAGGAGGCGCACCCCTTTGTCGGGCTAAATAAGCCTCGAGATTCCTTTTCATTTCCTGGGTACCCAGAAGTCTGACAATTTGCACTTCCGCGCGCTGCGACACTAGCATGAGTATAACTAAAAACGCATTCGCCGTAGCATCAGTCATTCAAGTAAATTATTGTCTGTGACATTTAAGAAACATCGCATCATAATGTGAGTTTGGAAACAGTTTTTTTTTTTTAATTTTCTTCTTTTAATTTTCTTCTTTTTTTTGGGGGAGTAATTAAAATGTTTTGAAACGAAACACAGGACTCACACAGGAAGAACAAATAGGACGACGCGTGAACCAAGAATTTCATAAACGGTCGTCGCATAAGTTGTCCCGTGTTCGACCCGGGCATCAGATAATACATGATACAATAAAACGGAAATAGAAACGCCGTCTTTACAAGAATGCCAACTCTCTCTTTCGTAGACATTCTTCGGAATCCGGGAACACCTTCGTACCTTCAAATGTAGAATTAAATTTTTTTCTATTGAATGTTAAAAAATGTGATTCAAACTTTTGTAGAAAAAAAATTATTTCTACTTGAACGAGTAATTCTTCAATCTGCGAATTTCTTACCACATTGCCGCGAGCAGTTGCTGAACGTGAGAATGCGAAACGAATTTCTTTTGCTTGTATTTTATAGCTTGTTCCAGTCGTGCCAGTTGCTTGCTGAATTCGACATTTTCTTCGTCAGGATCGTAATTCAAAATGGTGTCCAGTTCCGTGGTGGTTCGAACGTGTTGCAACAGGTCCACGGCAAATCTGGTCGTTTACGATTATTGATCAAACACACGTAAGTATAAATATTTGCAATTACATTTTGCGCTAAAACTTACTTTTCTACTTGTCGCCGAAGCTTCAAATACTCGGTTCTGCTCTCCGGTTCCGACACAATCAGTTCTCTGAGTTCCCAGCTCAGCTGAAAGGCTCTCATTAGAGGGTCCGAAGAGCTCAGTGCTAACAAACTTGGACTCGCTAGAGCTTTGTATTCGGAAATTCTGGTCGATGACAATCTCAACGGATCGCCTAGAGAATGCTACGATTAAACCTTTTGTCAACAGATTGTGGAAAACAATGCAGATTTCTTAAAAAAAAAAAAAAGAAAAAACTAAAAATGTGCCATCTCTCACTGGTCACTGCTCGAAGACAATCTTCACAGCCGCATCTCACATCGTGTGGCATCGGCAAAGTGGCTCCTCGGTCCAGCAGTAGCTTCAAGATCTCGTAATTATTGCGCTGCGCCGCGAGCACCAGAGGTGTCATGTCCATCGGATATCTAGCGGATGCGGGATCGACCTTCTGCCAACTATGTATAATCTCCTTTTCTGTAAAAGAACGAAGAAACGAATATGTATAAAATGTAGATACAAAAATAATATACACGGTGTTTGTTTTGTGTAAAGTTTATTTGTTTTACAAGTACGGTCACATGATATTGATACAATCAGGATGTTATGTTCTCGACGATGTGTCGATTTAGACTCACTATTATCTTCCATTATTTGATTCGCCGTAAGAAGTTCCTCGTGTTCCAGCAACAGTTCGACTGCCTCTACAAATTCCTGATCGATAGCGTGAAGCAGGGCGTCTTTGGTCTCGACTCCCATCACGACGAGCAATTCGACCATTTCTAAATTTTCCGCCTCTATGGCCAGCGTCAAGGCGCCGCGACCCAGACTATCCGCACAGTTTACATCGAGTTGTTTTTCCTAAAGTTATATTTATATATATACAAATCACAATCATTAAACGTTGTATAAAAACAGTTTAATTTCACTTCGAGATCCTCTGTAAATTGGAAACGGAAATTCAAGTTTACTTTGTCCTTGTTCGCTAGCTGCAGAAGTTTCTTGACATTCGGCAGGTCGCCCCTTTCCACGGCCAACAGATATTTCTTTTCCTCGATATTGAGCGGACGTGGAAGATTGAGCACATAGTCGTTCATGTCCTGGATGTTCCCGGACGCTTCCGCGTCCTTCGCATCGCTCATCTTGAAACCGCCCGACTCACCTTTTCTCTCCGAAACCATCTTCAAAATCACTCATGCATCACGAATGACCGTCTGTGTCATTTTTGTTCGTCACCGTGACGATGAGAGACGCGGAAGCTTCGAATAGCTCTAGAGAAGATATCGAAAGGTATTCTCTTTTCTGAAATACGGTCGACTCTTCGCGCGCGGAGCGTCACGCCGGTTATATAGGGGATGATGCAAATTGAATTACACGCGATAACCCAGACCCACTTTTTTGTCCCTGCGGATAATGCGAAACAAGAGTTAGCGCAGTAGTGCGGTCGCCGCTAACCGTGACTGTGTACAACTGGCGACTAATTTGCTTATCTATATCCTGTTAGCCATCTATGCGCTATATTTGCGGATTGAATCTGGAAAATAGAGATATCGGATATCGTTGAAACAAAAAAAAAAAGTCGGCGACGATCGTCAAGACGATAAGCCGGATAATTCCTTGTCATATTCTGCAACGCAGTCTCCTCTAAATAAACATTTATGTCGCTTTGTGTGTGACCGTTATATATAGTTTTATTAATCAAAAACATATGTTAATTACATGCTGTTTAATTAATTTTGAGATAAAATCTCGACGAGAAACGTGTGACTATTTGTTTCGAAGTGTTTTGTGATTTCGAACATTGACTCTTTCGTGAGCTGCTCGTTAGAATAAAAATCAGAATTAGTTATAATCTTCACGTGAGATGTCGAATTTGCTTCTGTTAAACGATAAACTGCGGAGAACGCAACGCGGACGTTGCGCAAATATTTGATTCGCTATTGACAAGTTCGATTCGTCGTATTGGGAAAATATTGAAGTAACAAAGCAAATGGCGACGTTGAGAAACAATGCAGCACCTATCAACAATCTCGATCGATACAACACAGATTAATAATCTTAATTATAAACACGGAAAGAGTAATTTGAATTACACGCGTGGAAATTATCCGTTTTGAAATTTCCCCCGAGTGGCTTATCGTCTTTTCTGTGGCAGCGATGACGAAGATACAACAACGGCGGATTGAGATCCGGGAGCTTACGTCGAGAAGGACAATTCACAGAGAGGAGGAATAGAACGTAAGAAGAGAGGACGATAATTGTTTGCACGATAGCTCCGCTTTCTCAGCCATGGTTGCGCGCAATGTTTGCTCCACGGCTCTATCTAAAGGATACGATGTCCGGTGATCATGAATCACTCACGTTTCCTCAAGTCAGCATCTTGCGTTTCTCATCCGTTCATCTCCCTGTCGCAACGTTTCGCATCACACACAAGCTCCTTCAAAAGCCTCTCATTATGTCCTAAGCATGCGCGAGGATACAAAAGCAGAGAAAGTTATTTGTTCGCGAATAAAATCAACAAAGAACAGCACTTAAGAATTAACGTAGTGTAATTGAAAGTAGAGCGGTCTATAGCTTGGTCTGTGTGTGTGGGATTAGTAACCAAGAGATCCCACGTTCCGAAACAAAATTCGGCCGAAACGTATTCTAATGAGTTGCCAGTTCACCAAGGTGCATCTTTCTCTCATGAGATTTCTTTAAATTAAAAGTAGTGGTTTCAATAACCCACTTAAAATTGTAGGTCTTTTTATTGCACTCTCTAATCGGCACAAGAGTGAAAGAGAGAGGAAAAACCAAGTCTTCTTTTTTAGTCGCAACAGCAATAATGATCAATGTTATCTTCCGATAAATAATTATATAGAATGATAAAAAAAAAGCTATATTATTTTTTAGTATATTTTACATACAACACCAATTTTTACATATAAATTAAATACACATTTTTATTAATGCAAATATTACAAGATAAAAAATATGTGTTTGTTAAATACATTTTAAAATTTCTCAGAAGACGCAATAAATAGAGAATCTTAAAGTTCTTAACAAACAGATAACAGCAAGCCGTATTCGGTATCTTCTTGTTCGATAAATATAATATCGCGAAAAACAGGCGGCAAGTGAAAGCAGCGGACAACAAAGAGACGCGTCGTTTTTTCGTTCTTCCGTACACCGTCATCTTTCGTTCATACGGAAGAGAAAAGTTTCTTTCAACGGCCGCGCTGCAAGAAAAACCCGATCATCCGATTGGCGGCAGCAAAGTAAAAGGGACGACGACAGGAAATGCTCGTGCAATAAATCTCAGACACGATTTCGGACGCATCTCAGTGTTACATCTTGTTTCCTCAGCTTCCGAGCGCATTTCCTGTTCTACGCGCGCGCGCGGAACGGTGTGTTGTCGATAATGCCATCGTCGTGTGCTGGCGCATTATTGAGGATAATGTGGTTGTTATTGGGTCTGGCGGTTTTTTTCTGTGACGGCTCGCCGGCTGTGAAGAAAATCAAGAGAGCTCCGACCAATTTTCGGTACGCCAAAGATCTAGACGCAGCGGCCACACATCACGGAGGTATACATACAAATTTTAATATACAAAAAATTTTTACACATTTTTTTAATACATAAAAATGTAATATTCTTTGATTGAAAGTGTGTAAATTGTCTCTTGTACAGAGTAAAAATGTTTCTGACGCTGATGGATGGGATACTCCATCGCGAGAATACAGCTTCGGGCGCATTATAGGGATTCGCTGTCGATCGTGCTAATTCATTCGCAGCAGAGAATTAAACGCGCATTAAAAAGCTCATCCGTACTATTTTATTTATACGTCGCGTCTATTTGCATTTAATCTTTAGCAACTGCTTTCTATCTTCTGTGTTTTGATTCGCTTTTATTTTCTACCGTGATAACGTTGTCATTTAATTCTCTCGTCGTTTTACGTGTAACGAGAAAATAAACTCACGTGTATAATATAACACTTGATAACGTGTGAATTAATTTATTACGCATTAAGTAGCATAACATGATGAATCGATAAGTTTTACACGACGCGCAAAACAAACGTAAAACAAATTTTTTTTTAATAAAAAATAAAATTCATAAGAGTTGTTATAATTAGTTATCAGATTAGTTATTGAACACTCGCGAGAATAAATAAACCTTTTTCAACGCATAATCCGTTTAATTTCTTTTCGCTAATCACTCTGATATTAATTCTCGAATATTACTTCTCAAACAAAGAATAAACGTAAAGTAACGCTTTCTCGTTGAGCAAACAAACAATTAATTTTACACCCCTGACATTAAACTTTAGTTTTGTCTCTCTGAAAGGAGATAATATCCGCAAGTGTACACACACAGAAAAATGCATACTGTATCAAGTATATAATAAGTTTATATATCCGCAAATATATTATAAGATTTTCGTAAGTATTTAATTTACTCAAAATACAAATTTACTAAGATTTAGAGTGTATTTTGAGTAAATTAAATACTTACAAGAATCTTATAATATATTTGCGGATATATAAACTTATTATATACTTGATACAGTATGCATTTTTCTGTGTGCATGATCGATCATGAATTGTGTGGGCGAGAAGTGAATGAGATTGAGCACAAGTAAAGATTACATTGTTAGAGCAAATGCTTCGCTTTTTGACGGAAATCGGGAGACTTTTGCTGACCTACGACAGCTTTATTTATATTTTATTCAAAATTCAGGCGACGAGGGCCACCACGAGGAGGGCGTCGGTGCGAAACACGAGGAGAATCACCACGACACGCACGGCCAGAAAGGCGACAAGGTACGGTCGCTATCCACGTTGTGAGTGACGAAGTCGGCTCCTTTCTTTTTTTTTTATATCGTCCGTAATATAAGCTCCTCTTTCCCATCTTTCTCTCTCTCTTTCCCCTTTCTGAGAATATTTATTACATGGTCGTTTTGTACGAACGTCGTTCCTAGGGAAAGAGATTCGTTTCGCGAACGTATTTTGCGGTGATATAATGCATTTTACTCTTTTGTACGTCAGGATCAAATGACTCCGATACTCCGCTCTTTTTCTAAATCCTTCTCGTTACGTTCGTCGCGAAAAGTAACGACGATTTCTTCCTGTTCTCCAAAGTAACGGCGTCACGTTTTTAATAGAACAAAAGCCGTAGTCTTAAATTTTAATGTGTATTTTTATTTTGATTGTGGAAAATTCTTTTGTGTATCTAAGTGCTTTACATGTTAGTTATAAAATTGCGTCAATCAAATTAACGCGCAAGAAACAGAGTTATGTGGAAAACGTACTTAACGGAACTTACAATAAGATAGTTTTTAATTTTTGGGAAAGGGTTACAAGGCTTTTCACGAGTTCGAGAAGAGCGACAAAGGTCATCACGACAAGGAAAACCATAAGCGTGAGTACGACGTGGAGAGTGGTGAGGAAAAAAAGAAACACGAAGAGGCTGGTCATTACGGTGAGGAACACCATGGCGAAGAGGGTGAAAAAAACGCAAAGTTTGGCGAGGAGGGGAAGCATCAAAAGGGATACAGCACGAAAGGAGAACACAACGTCTTCAAGAAGGTACAAAGACATTCGCGTTTTCTCAACAAAAATTGATTAATGTCATATAACACTTGGAAAAAAAACGCGTCTATCGTAATTTTCTTGTGATACAAAAAACGCAGTAAAAACACTTATTACTATTACCAGAGCTTTGCGAGATTATGAGATGAAGCGCGTAAGGCTTCCGTTGTTATCATCTGGAATGAACGTCTGGGCTTCCGTGTGTTGTGTCTAGACTCGTGGGTAACACATTTCAGCGTTTTAGTTTACATTGCATACTTGTTGACAAGACATTTCAGGCTCTGTGCCCGAACTAAACTTCGTGCGTTATGACAGATAATGATATCGTAATGAAACTTACTATTTTATTGAACGCGATAAAAGAAACTGTGCAACAAAAGCGAAAAATGCATTTCTTACACAGGATAAAATAATGATTGTTACCTTAAGGGTCTATCAATTTTTTTTTCAAGAGTGTCAACTGAAGGACTCTGAAATAATGTTGCCATAAAAAAATCCAAACTAACCTACGGTCAAGTAAAAAGTAGCCATGGACAAAAATATTAAAAACTAGAAAAAAAAAAAAAACCAATACTTGCGAGTCAGTGAAGAACTGTACGTATTCGTATTACGCGTTGTGATATATTTATGAAGGAATAAACTGTTTCTTCAAGGATGAATACGAGAAAAAACAGGACTTTTACGACGAATACCACGAGGACGGAGAAACCGAGAAGCACGGTGGTTGGCATGAGGAACACGAAGGCAAAAAGGGTGGGCATCACAAAGTGGGTAATTTGCATGCGGGGCATCATGAGGTCAGTATTATCGTTATTACAAGTTTTTGTTTGTATCGTTAAAATGTTTTCTCCCGAGATTTCTCGAAACTTGCGCTCAAGCAATTTTAATTTTTTTTTTTATTATATCAGGGCCATCACGGTTCAAAGGAAAAACATGGGAGAGGTCATCATCATCACGAAAAGAAAGGTCATAAATTGGCTGAGGGACACGACAAGCACCACGAGCACGACGAGAAACATGGTCACAAAGGTGGCCACGCCTCGGGACACAAATGGTCAAAATCAAATCATCATTAGTGACGAACGAGACAAAATTATTGTTTTGCACATTTATATCGCAAGTTTATTTATATTTAGTTTTTTAATAATTATTACGTTAAGTAGATCGAGATCGTACATTTGGAGCAGTGTTGAGTCGCGAATGTTTATAAAAAAAATTACATAACGACAATATAAGTGTTGTAATGTTAAATAATTGTTTTTACACATCGACAAAGTGCAACATATGTTTTGCTGTAAAAGTTTTTGTACGCATTATATTTACATCGTATAAATTTATTTTATCGACAGAGGTCATATCGATGAATATGATAAGCAGATAAAAAATAAGGTGTGAAAACTATTTTGAATAAATAAACAAAGTTATTGATTTGAAACTTCAAAGGTATATGGTTTCCCGAAACAGACACGCTTGCTTCATCACGATGCTGATTGCTGAGAAGAGTGAAAATTTCAGCATGAAATCGGTCGTGCTTCGATGCACACTATGCAACCGAACGAAACTTGTGCATTTATTTTGATGCAGATATATGGCATCGAGACGACTTACAAGTATTCGATTTTTCCAGCGACGAGAAGCCAAAAACCTCTATTGTATATCAACACATTTTCAGAATTGTATTACTGCATTTTAATTAAGCAGAGAGATGTATATATTGAATTTTATTTTTTTATTTTATCTACACATTTTCTTTTATGGATTCCGAATAACTTGTTACTCTCTCTCTCTTTCTCTCTTCTTTTTTCTCTCTTTCTTTTTCTCTCTTAATTGTAAAGAGATTGCGAACGCACTCTCGGAAGAAACCTTTCAGTCATTATGAGTAAACTTCCTGCGAGATCGAACCTTATATAAAAACTTTAATTTTTTATTAAAATTTCGTTCAAATAAAATTAAATAAATATCTACATTATATTTATAAAAATAAATTAAATAATCTATATTATATTTATTATATATTTAATTAAATTATATATATTTGTAATAAGGGGTCGACGGACCTGACTGGCCTGACAGAACTGACCTATCTTACTTATTTCATTCACGCTAGTATTTTTTAAACTCACCTTGAGTGAGACTCGAAAAAAAAGTCGATCGATTCAGCAAGCAATTATTGTGTGTGCATTTGATTTACTGGTATCATGTACACAGTTTGTCCGGAAAGTTCCCGGACTA